TCACGCAGACTTCTTCGAAGTTATTCAAAATGACATAAAAAACAACCAGTGACATGAAACTTCAAATTTATAAGATGGATGGGTGTAGACAACCCGACTGAATAAAAAAAAACAGATGTAAATAAAATACAACTGTGTACAAGAAAATGTACAGAACGAATAGATAGTATCACGCTTTTGTTTTCTGGAATGCAAATATACAATAGAGACTGAACACTTCCCATTCAGGATAGGAGATCGTGCCGATTAGCTGATTGGTGATCGCCGGGCGTTTTTTGACTGCTTCTTCAACATGGCGATAGGCACCAATCTCTGAAGAACCAGCCAGAGGCAAATGGTTAGATGAAGCAGGTGAGTTATAAGTATTAAACTGACGATTATCATCACGAGCATTGGGACGGCCATTCGGACGCCAGGCAGAATCCCTGCGGTCAGCTTGCCACTGGGGTTCTCCATCACGGTTCCGATCCTGAGAGGAATGTGAGGACTTACGGTGATTGTCATTAGAAGATTGCCTGTTGTCCGGGCTATATCCACGCGGACAGTTTTGACGGTCAGCAGAGGTGTGAGAACCATGAAATGAATACCCCATGGAATCGCGATTTGGCGAAAGGTCCTGACAGCGATCTGAAGGTGCGTCACGCGATCGCCAACCTATTGGACTTCTATCACGAGAGGACCGGATAGGATCCCTAAGATCGGCTTGACGTTGGGGTTCTCCATCACGGTTTCGGTCCTGAGAATAATGAGAGTGCTTACTGTGATGGTCATTAAAAGATTGCCTATTATCTGGGCTGTATCCACGCCGGCAGCTTTGATAATTCGAAGAGGGGTGAGAATCACGCGTTGAATGTTCCACGGAACCACAATTAGGTGAAAGTTCATCGGAGCGATCAGAAGTTGCATCACGTGGTCGCCGTCCTATTGGACTTCTATCGCGCGAGGGTGAACGATGGGTATGACCTATATCCTTTCTATAGCCATCATTTGTACGAATACGATGATCAGAATGACATAACTCAACGTTTGAGGGAGCAGTCCACGTCTCCAGGGCATCCATAACAGAAAGGAGACGAACAGATGCCTGGTTGCGTTGTGTCTCATCTTTTAAATGTTTCGGAAAGGGTAGGGGACCAACTAAATGGCTCAAATTGACTTCGGCGGCCATCGCCTTCAGTAAGGAGGGATGAACAAGATATTCAGGGCAATCGACGACACCCTCAAGTTGGAATGTGTAACCGGCACCGAAGAGGGGTAATTTATTAGGATCATGAGTAGAGCCATGGTCTTTAAATTTAATGGAGTACACCGAGTTTCCAAATGTAACGGGGTCTTCTGCAGACGTTTTAACTTGATTATAACGACGAACCAACTCGTAGGCATTTGGGAGCGTGGCAATGAAAAACCCATTTTCGTTGAGCGCCGAACTAACGTTCTGAAGCATTGAACGCGCCTTGGGAAGGAAAAAAGAAGCAGCTAAACAGGGACGGAACAGCTAAAACAAACTGTGAGCAGAATTTCGTGAATAAATTTAAACATACAGAAGCTTATTTGACGGAAGACTGCTACTCAGTTACATAAGCTACGATCGTGTACATAATAATGCGTGGATATCTACAGCCTGCAGCGAAAAAGTAAGTATAAACTAATATACAGCGGGCATTATTACGAAAACTAGAGAAAAAACAGTGGGACCTTCATATGAATTTAGACTCACCTGCGAATAACTCTCAAAGGCATAATGCAGAGCAAATTGACAACTGATTAGGTCGAATTTTCCCGCAAAATCGATGGGGGTTGCGCAGTCGTGCACAATAAATTCGGCTGAAAAAATTGGCCGGTGTTTATTCCTTGCTTTTAAAGTATAGTATCTGTCCTTGCAAACATCAATTGACGCGGAAGAAATGTCCACAAATGTGACATGACTAACACCACCTTTCAACCACTTCATTTGATCTCCCCCTTTTCCACAGCAAAAGTCGAGGACACGAACGTTTCCATCCTTTCTGTTCCTCCGTATTTTTTCCAAGAATTCAATAATGACGGTACTTTTGACCCAGTTGTTGAGATTTCGCAAAAAATATATGCGAGATCGACTTCGTGTCTCGAGGGAAACGTTTGAAGAAGAAACGGCATTTGCATCGTAAAAGGCACGCACATTTTCGTTATTTGAGCTTGTGTGTGAATAAGCTGGCTTCACGATGCTTTCTTTTCCTTCAGTATTCATCTGATTTAGGAACAATTACAAAGAAAGCTTTAGAGGATTATCCGCGAATTCGCGTCCGAATTTCAGGCTAGTAAAACCGCACCATGTCTATTAAATATTTACATATTCCCTGATGTTGTCGACTAGATTTCGGTATTTTATTTCTGCCATCATTTATTTTCGATTATTATAACTTTTTTGAACTTCTTCATATTGTTTCATTCATTGGCACTCTCTTTGAATTATCGACTATTCCCATAAAGAGACGCGAATAATATCTCTCGGCTGGGCCTTTTACCTAGTCGGAATGCCGAATCAATTAAGGATCAGTGCCACAACCTGCAAATCAGTTAATTCTCATATGCTAGCTATTGTCCCGTCTACCTACTGGAGCGTTTATTCTAGGTTCCTACCAGACCTGTTAAACGCTCATAGTCATGACTTCGTGTGCCACAGTAACTGAAGCCATAAACCAGCGCATAGCACAAGAATTATCCGTTAAAATCCGCGTAGTGCGAGATGTAAGAATACTTTGGGGGGATAGTTTCACGATGCAAAATATGGATGAACAGCGTGTTTATGGATGGATTGACAGCCGACAACAAGGCACTCGTCCGGGGTAGATTTGAGGAGATAGTGGATCTAATTGAGTAGAGAACAGGTCAAACAGTAAAATGTGTGTATCTGAATGGTTACAGACGGAATGCATCCTCCAAACCGTATAAACCCTGAGACAAACACAGGGACCATATCAAGGTGTAGATACAACTATTCGGGCTGCACTCCCACAACAAATACCAAACGTGTGGAGGACGCATTGTTGACACGCGTAGGCGCAAACTCAGGCACCAGTCAATCGTGGCTTTTATGACACCAGCATTATGTATTGTATGAGTTAGGCATTGGGGCTCTGGCCGCCTATGTCCGATACCGCTTCCGGCCATATTGTCTGACTTTATTACGTCCTTGCATCTTGCTGTGGACATCGTCGGAATCGAGGGGCGGACGGAGAGGATTTTAATAACCTTACTTTTATAAAGTAATTTAGGCAGAAAGACATTACCGACAAAGACGAGGGAGATGTGGATGGCAATTTCTGGTCTATTAGCCGTCGTCAGCTAGTCATACTCAATTCAGGTATTGCCCCAGGAATTGGTGCCTCGCTTGAGTTTTGAACTCATGACCTATCTGCTACAGTAATTTTGGCTATTTCAGTCTGCTGAAACCAGTAACAGACCTCAAGCAAAGAGATGTCTCAACGGCTAGACAATCTTCCAGACGTAGGGGAGAACGCCTTTACGGAGAACTGATAATGCCAACTACGCGACACCTTCAAATCAACCCGCAACGTATCTTTGACCGCGCACGTCGTCAACACAGGGTTGGTTATATGAAAATGAAGCAGCCATCAGCAATCAGCTCGCCAAGAAGAACCGGCTGCACAAAGCCGACGTTTACTGCCGTACCGACGCCATCAACACAGCCTTCTACCAAATTGGCTGTCTTGTACAACAGCGGCTGCGGGAAATGCAAGACGCTTAGAAGGCTCACAAAAGCGAGGAGACTGAAGGTTGCGCGGACTGCGATGAATAGAAGAACTTATTCCTTGTGATAAAGCCGCTCTACGGCCCTTCAGTCAAAGGCAAAGGTCCTCTTCTCAGCCCTGACGTAACTACCTTGTTCACAGAGAAGACGCAGAATCTAAAACACTGAGCTGAACACTTCAAAAGCGTACGCAAACGGCTTTCCCCATCTCCGATGCCGTCATCGATCGTCTGCCTCAGGTGAAAATCAACACTGACATCTAACTCCCACCTCACTCTCCAGGAAACGATGAAGGTTGTGCAGCAACCCACAAGCACGAAAGCACCCAAATCCGGTGATATCTCCACCGAGATTTACAAGTAACACGGCCGATAACTTATATCCCAACTAACCACGCTTTTCCAAGAGATGTAGCGACAAGGTCAAGTCCCCCAGGACATTTAGGACGCCACAATAGGCCCATTTCTGCAGGCGACGGTGAAACCGCCTATTTGGTGCCAATCGTCATAGAATTCCACCGGTTAATATCGTCGGCAAAATCCTTGCTTGTATTTCTCTGAACCGTCGCAATAAATACCTGAAATAAGGCAGCTAAACTCGCGACACCGGTGCTGCTTGCGATTAGACGGGGATTCGTCCACATCGACAAAGAACTCTTCAGAAAAACGTATGGAGCGTTTGTTCGGTCCCACTTGGAGTATGCCGTCCAGGTCTCCTGGATCCACATCACGTACCTCCTCAAGATCCGATGTATGCAGGCTCCCACGCGCGTCTCGACGGTCTAGGTTCATAATCTGCTTTTCGCGGATGACTGCGTTCCCAAAACCAAAACAAGAGCGGACATGCAAAGGAGTATGAAACTCTTCGCCGCCGGTTTCGCAGACTTCGGTCTCGCCATCAACATGAATAAAACGGTGGTCATATATCAACCGCCAACTGGTGCTGATAAAAATGCTCCACGTATCAACGCCAACGGCACCCAGCACAAAAACATGGACATGGCAGCACAATAACTTGCAACATCAGAATCGACAAAGAGGTTCCTCGCCGGATTTCCAAAGCTAGCCAAGCCCCCGGCTGGCTTCAAGCCTCCGCGTGGAACCGTCATGGTCTCCAGCTGTCCACAAAATTGAATATGTACGAGGTCGGCGTCCTCATGACACTCCCGCATAGAGCAGAGACTTGGACGATCTACACAAACCAAACTCGGAAACTAGACCATTTTCATCTCAACTAAGGTTGAGTTGACTGGACAGGACAGGATCCGAGATACGGATGTCCTGGAGAGGACAGGAATCCTCAGCATCCCGGCCGTGTTGAAACAGATACAGCTACGCTGAAGC